GACACACACACATACCGATGATGAAGCACCGCGTCATAGCCTAATAATAATAATGCTCAATGGTACGCTCCATCCAGAAGTGGAAAGAATCCACGTGTCTGGTTCTGAAATTACTGATGCAGATGTATTTACATGCTAACGTGCCAGCCTGGCGAGCTTGACTCCATAACATTTGGTGCCAGTCTCTGATCCATACAATGAGGCCCAAGTATTTGGACAAAAACAGAACCATATATGATCGAATGGTAGGCTTTCGGCTTTTATAGAGTTCACAAATATAAGGCATTTACCATTTTTAAAAATCATTTTTTTATGGGCCCAAAAGTATTTGGACAAAGTGAGACCATTGGAAACGGCGCCATGTTTTCAATTATGTGGAACAAAATCTTTTTTTCATTTACTGCCTGAAGTGAGCTCATTTAATGACCCAATTCTGAGTTTTATCCCCGGAGAGACTTTCAGACAGCCTCTGAAGTCATATAATGTTCATCAAAATATTAAAAAGCTTGCTTTCTTTGTCCGAATACATTTCCAACCATGAAAATGAAATTGAAGCCGAATAGAAATTGCTAACTGGTAATTGCCTTCTTTTTATGAAACCTCTTCCAATAAAGCTGAAAATCAACATTTTAATTGCATGTTGTTTTTTTGTTGTTGTTGTATTACCGGTAATTGCTTGTGATGCTATATGAAGATAAAGTCATAAATGAAAACTCTAAATACTTCTGGACCTAACTGTATTTCACATTGTTTCCACATCAGACTTGGCTTTCTTCCTATCAGTGTTCACAGCAGCCCGTCGAGGCAACAAATTAGTTGGGCCTGAAAGTTACCTTGTTATAATATCCTAGTTGAAACAAAAATTTTAGCTGGGTCAAGATTGAAGATGCTCATCCCTACCGCATTTCAGTGGTGATTTAATTGCTAGCAATTTCATCTAGGATTGATGGCGATTCATTTTGTGCGATGAGAATTGGATCAGTTCTGGGTTTTAATCGAATGCTGGGTTTGTGTCTGTGCCTGTGCTGTGGCTTTTGCTTTTCTTCAGTCTGGTTTTGGACGTGACGCCATGATTCCGCCTCTCTTCATTGTACAGATGCGTGCAGGTGCCGTGACGGTGTCTCGTTCTGATATTGTATGACCTTGCTTGTGTGTCGTGTAGAGCGAAGGGCTTCCAGCATCAACGGATGACCAACGGGGCCATGAATGTTGAGATCGGTAACCCCGCCTACAAGATCTACGAGGGTGAGCCCGATGACGACGCAGGGGAGCTGCTCGACGCAGACTTCACCCTCGATCCAGACAAGGTACACAGTGTTCGAGGCCTATCTGGTAGTTTGACAGCGCGACCGTCGTGAACGGCAAAAAAAAAAAAAAGTCCGGAAAAGAAAGGTCTTTGTTCACCATTTGGGGGCATATTATATATCAAAAGTCCTACACTAGTGGTGTCAGTACTCGGTATTGGTGAGTACTTAAAGACACTCATACTGGTATCAGTTTGAAAAAAAAAAAAAAGTGCTATTGAACATCCCTAGTCAGGTCCATCAATAATCGGGACACAATTGTCATCTTTTTTGGCTTAAGCACCACCGCGATGGATTGGAAATGAGATGTGCTTGAACTGCAGACTCTCATCTTGGATGTATTTACTGTTGGTGGATATGTCGGCCATGTTTGAAGGGCCCAAAAAGTCAGAAATCAAACTTTTGGCTTTTTAAATGGCTTCCAATAGAAATTGTTCCCTTGCAATTCAGTGACGATTGCAGCAGGATGAATTCTATCATCTACTTATAGTCCGCCAATTGCTTCAAAACTCGTCGGACAGCGCTGCACAGCGCAGATGGACAATGACCTATAGACATATTTTGAAAGCAGCCGCATTTTTTATTTATTTATTTATTTATTTATTTATTTTTAAGTCAAGGAAGAGGACACTTCTGCATTGGGCGAGTCAGAGCCATTAAAACTCATTCAGTACCAGCCAATTCTGGACCAAGTCTGAAAAGATGTTTAAAAACGTCTTTGGGAGTGAATGAGTTAAGATGAGGCATGTGTTGATGTCCCAGTATTTATGGACCTGACTGTATTTGTTCAAACTATTACTAGGCAATCAAAAATATTTTAGGAGGTGCTTCTATTACTTTCTGCTTTTTGCCATTCATGCGTATACTGTACTGTTTATTTTTTTTCATATCCCAACGATAAGTTGGGCTTTACGTTACCACGGATAAACGACACTCATCTGATCTACATACCATCTGATGGATTTTATTTGATTTTTTTTCTGTCGTCGTCTGACTCCTCCCAGCCGACTAACTTCACCAACCCAGTGTACGCCACGCTGTACATGGGCGCCCACAACAGTCACAACTCGCTGGCCAGCACGGACGAGAAGAAGGAGCTGTTGTCTCGCGGAGAGGAGGAGCCCCTCGTGGACCCGCTGGCGTAGGCCGCGCATCACGCTGTTCCAAACACACCGCATCTTCTTGCCTTTTAGTGAAGAAAATGAAAACGCCTGAAGAAAAAAAAAAAAAAAAAAGCTGGAGAGGAAAATGACAAAAAAAAGTGTGAACACTGTATAAAATGTACAAAAATGAAGGACTACTTTTGTATGTGATTGCAGTATTATATTTTGTTCTTTTGAGATTCCTCTGGTCAAAAGAATAACATTTTCTATGAGAGATTTTTAATTTACACGTGTCCCTTACCCCTTTACCTAAATAGCCACTACCTCTGTGCAAAATGAAATGGAAAAATTAGAAGTCGTTAGCATCGGCGCAGTTTTAATTTGTATTTTTTTTTTCCATTATTTTTTTTATGACTTGTATAGAGAGCAAGAGAGAAAAGAGAAGGAAAAAAAAAAAAAACATTGTTCCATTTCACCAGTGCCAATTGTTTTGTTTGTGTGGACTTTGAGAGGGAACGGCAAAAAACTCAAAGTTGTCCAAATTTGTGCGGCTGTCGTCTGGCTGAGGATCTTTGCAAGACTGTGTGAAAGATATCCGCGTTGGTGCACGGCACCGGATGCTCTTGAAATGATTGTGTCGTCTTCCTTGCACAGAATTCCAATTTGATGGTATTTTGTAGGCTTTATATGGTCAGATGTGAAGCCAATGTGGGTTTTTATGACACAGCTCTGACAGCTGGAGCTGGTTTTGAAGTCAGTAGTCTATGTTGAAGAATGATGACTTTGCTCCCAGGTGAAACATTCCAGGCAGGTGTTGCGAATGTGTTGAGGCAAACATGGTCAGCTGGTCAATACTGGGAGGACCAAAGCACACCCGGGCCACATGGTGAGGTGATATCACGTGACTTACAGGGTCTTCCTCTAGTTGAAGGTGAGAAAAGCTTCACTTGAGGTCCTATCAGATGAAGCCGAGATCCGCACGGACCTTTTCTAAAACGTCAAGTCATGAGTTAGCTTTTTACCTTAAGTGGACCGCTTTGTAACGACTCTGTCTTTAAGTGCATTAAGGTCATTTGGTATTCGTGTGGTCGTCGGGCTTTGTCTAACCTCCTGTGTCGAACTGGTGTGCCCCCCCCACTCCCCCCGCTGCTGCTAATGCTACCACTCTTGTCCTTAGGCTCAAAATGCTGCTTCTGTCAGAAATGTGTCAGCCATAATCTTAATGCATGTAACACCGATCTTCAATAACTGCAGTTATCCTTAAAGACAGCGACAATGTTTTATTCTTTTTGCATACCTGTAAGCAAGTGTTATTTTACTCAGTTGTATATGTTTTGTATTTTAATTCAGAGATAAGTACAATCATTTTGTTTCTCCCAGCAGCAATTTTGCTTAAATTCATTCATTTTCCGATTGTTGTTGAATGTTTTTTTTTTTTCTTCATCAAATGAATGACACATAGCTTTTATAGTACACAATGCATGGAGGCTCAGACTTTCTTCTGGAAAGATACTAATGTTTAATTTTTGCTGGAGTACTTTGCAAACTAAATAACAGATATTGTTATAAATAAATTGAAAACTGTACAGACAATAAGTGGAATTTTTTTTTTGTGTGTGTTTTTCACACTGAAAACCCTTCTGTTTTGTACCTTTGCTCACACGCTGTCAGAGAGTAATATGTGTGTTCGGGCCTGAGCAACAGAGGTGTGAAGACGGTCTCAGAATGTGTGTTATTATTATTGGAATTGACAGATTTTATTTATTGTTAATAATCAAGAAAAAAATCGGCTCCAGAATAAAACCGGCACTTTTTCACAGAAAAAAAAGAGAGAGAAAAAAAAAGTGAGAGAATAAAGAGAAAAAAAGCAAGAGAATAAAAAGAGAGAGAATAGAGAAAAAAAGAGAGAAAAGCGATAGAATAAAGAGAAAAAATATAAAAAGAGAGAAAAAAGCGATAGAATAAAGAGAAAAAAGCACGAATAAAGACAAAAAAAGAGAAAAAAGCGATAGAATAAAAAGAAAAAAGGATAGAATAAAGAGAAGAGAAAAAGCGAGAATAAAGACAAAAAAGAAAAGGCGATAGAATAGAAAGGAAAAAAGCGATAGAGAAAAAAGGGATAGAATAAAGAGAAAAAGGATAGAATAAAAAGAGAAAAAAGCGATAGAATAAAAAGAAAAAAAGCGATAGAATAAAAAAAGAAAAAACAGCAAAAGAATAAAGAGAAAAGAAAAAAAAGCGAGAGTACTTTAGCACCATCTAGTGGCTATAAGCGCAAATTCCTGATCAGCAAACCATCGTGAAGTGCAAGAACTCGTTTGATGCTTTTTTCCCCACAAAATTCAACCCACTCAAAATTTTTATATTATTCAGTTACTGGGTTTGTCCTACATGTCTTTCCAAATCTGCAACAACAAAAAAATGATTACACCTACCGTTGTTGTAGTATACTGTAGGGCTGAGTCACAGTACTGTATATTAGTATCACAGTATGAGGCTTTTTTTTTTTTTTTTTGGTCTGTTTGTTCCTGTCTCTGGGGTACCTAATGTGGCCAATGAGTGAGTCTGAAATTCAAAAACTCCTCCAAAGAAATGATGTGCACAATATATATTTTAATATCCATCTTCCAACACACACAAAAAAATACTTGTGTAATCGTCGCAAATATACACAACTGAAACTGCATTCAACTGATGCAAAAACAAGAAAAAAATGCAATCTTATAAAAAATATATATTGAAGAGGCAACATCAAACCCAAGCAAGCAAGGTGCTGTGTTTTAAGTCGGATAGCAGGTTGCTAACACTGAAGTGGCGTTTTGAAGTGAACAAAATGTATTTGCTCTTTGCACGACGTAACATGTTTTCAAGCTTTTTCATTTTTCCGTCAATTCTCCCGTATTTTTATTATTATTCTTCGATTTAAGTCAAGCTCTCCTCTAGTCCGTACCTAGTGCCTGATGGCTGTGTTATATGAGCGTTTTGAGTGCTTCCCACTCGTACGGCGTAAGTTAGCACAAAGAGTTCTAAGCTGAGGGCGTTTTGGCGCAGGCGAGCCTGCTATAGCGGCGTCTGTTACATGAAAATGGAGAGGAGAAGATATCAAGTGCAAGCTGCAGCCGTGCCGTGTTTGAGTGGTGACGTCATCAGCATCTTTGTTACTCTGCTTCATCTCGCAGAAGGCAGAGTCCCACTAGTGATCATCTCCACCATTTTAGTCTCCAGAACCTATTAAAAGAGTAAAAACAAGCAACAGGAGATGGCCGCTAGTACACCACTGTGTGTGTTGCAGTAGAATATGCGTGCGCTTGAACTGTTTTCATTCCCACCTTGAGTTCAAGCCTCAGCAGGACCTGGCTGTCGGGTGCCGCCCCATCCAGATGAAACCACTGATCCAGGACGAGCTGTGGCTGTGCCAGTAGCTCCCTTACGCAAACCACCAGAGAACCCATCGGCTGGTCCCAGCCGCTGGAGAACTGCCATGCGAGCAAATGAATTCCGACTTACCGGTGAACATATAAAAGCAAACGTAACGCAATATTTTAAGGACCTGCCTAATGAACATAAATGATGGAACCGGCCTTACCTTGAGTACGAGCATCTGGTGTTGAGGGTCGTGCACAAGGAAGTAGAACGACTCACCCCACTGAGGATTGGTACTGCGGTCACATAGCTTGAGAAATAATGCGATAGCAAAGGCGGTGAATATATTTTTGGGGGCCCATTTCATCATTTCAGGGTACATTGCATCACGCAATGTGAGTCTCACCTGCGTTTTGTAGGTCGTGTCGCCAAGAACAAGCTCGGCTCCCGCTTTGGGCTCCTTTCCACTTTTCTTCAGCTGGAAAAAAATGTACACGTTTTACTGATGACAACGCTTCGTTAGTCATTGAGAATGCGTGGAGAGGCCAACCGGTGACTTACGGGTAAAGAGTGCGCTCGCTCCAAATGGACAAAGAGCAAAGCTGCAGAGGGGATGGCTTTGTTCTTAAACGACTGGAGAGACTGAAGCTGCAGTACCTGCACAACACAGATAACAAGTTAAGCACGGAATCAATTTTTCATTTGGTACTCCTGCACCATTATTTTGCAATGCAGCTGTGAAATATAACCGCAATCATAATCATGATAGGATAATCCTTTTTAGGTCACGGAAGGAATGACATTTCTACCATATTTCATTGCGCCTAATGATATGACCACTGACTACATAAAATATTACATTCGCGTTACGGTAGCGAATGACTCCCATTGTCACCGAATAAAATCCAAACCTGGTGAAGTTGGGCGGAACGCGACACTGTCGGAACCCACTCCAGGATCAAGTGAAGCCGCCCGGACTTGACGTCCTTCAAAGTGTACCACTGCAACACAAGTTACGTTAGCTACGGATGCAAGAGAAAGGGAGGAAAAAAATATATAGGCTACAAAAATACCAAAAAATAATAAAACTTGACAAACCTGATCTATGTACTGTGACCTGATAACCTCACTGAGTTTAACACTGAACCTAAGCGACATGACAACATACATTTAATCAGTTCTCATCTGTTATTTATTCTAAAGCCTCATACTGCTACGAGCACAATGGACACAAACCTGCCCAGGAAATCGTCAGAATCGAAATCTTTATCGAAGGCTTCAAGTTGAATTTCCTGCGCACCGTGACTGCTTAAAACCACCTATAATAGGAAAACAGAAAACATAAGTGCATGCCTAATATGACACCGATGCAAAGCTCAACAAATGAAACACAACCAAATCATTAAAACGTGAACCAAAACATGAGCTGAAGCAGAAAAAAACGGCTTGTGGCTTAATCACTTTGAATAAACTATTCATTTTAACTGAAATATAAAGTAATCTCATAATTAAGGAGTTAACATCAACCCTTATTGTTACTTTTAACCCATTTCTGACACTTTGAAATGAGCATACTGTAGACGGAGACTTAAAAGAGGCTTCGTGACAAAGTTGATCCACATTTACCTCATACATTTCGTTCCACGTTGGGTTGAGATTCTCCTTGACAACATGGCTCTTGAACGTAACCCCTCCGACGTTGATCTTGACGTAGGGATCGCTCTTGCCCTTCACCATGCCCCCCATCAGGTTGTCCTTGGCAACCAGGCTCTGGGCCTCCAGCAGGTGAATCCTCAGCAAGCCCTGCAACAAGTCCGCAGCAGCCAATGATTAAACTGTATACAATTAAATATACATAACTGAACATTAGTGGTATGTTTATTATTATTGTCTTGGCTATGATATATAATGCAGAAACACTGTAAAAAAAAAGAAAAACGAAAAGTACCAAGAAATATGAAATGAAAACTATATTTCTTTCAGTTCATGAGTTACAAGACTACTTCCTGGTTCATGACCTATGACAAAAAGAGGGGCGGTGCCATTGTGATTCCGAGGGGTGGGGGGTAGTTTCCGTTAATGCAACGGAGATGCACTGGGTGAAAATAAATTCCTCTCGCTGCAGTTCGAGATAGATTTTTGATTTTGATATGTGTCCTACTATTTTAGAGTCAAAATAACTGCTGTGCATTCAAGCAATAAAGCTAGACTGTTCACATTCGTTTAAATACATTAAAAATAAATATTAAAAACTCATTGTTAATGAACACTTCTCAAAGCATGAATGAAGATCATAACTGGAATCTCTTTTCTTAAAAAAATGTTTTCTTGATTACAGTTATTGTTGTTGGCTGTTTTCTTTTCTTTTTTTAAACAAGCCAAGTTCTCTTAAATATTTCTTTTGTCTTGCATAGAAAAGATGCAGGTCCGATCCACACAATGGGCGGAGGGCGGTTTCACAATAGCTCAAGAAAACTGGAAGTGGCCCAGTTGATTCACTGTGATTGGAAAAAGCCACACGGTGTTGATTCATCATCATGAGGAAAGGCAGTCGCGAAAATGCCAACGCAGTCTTCTTTTTAAACAGCACATGGACACACAACTTCGATGGAACCTCATATTTGATATTCAACAACTATTTAAAAGGACAATCACTGTATCTGACTGGCTAATTATCGTCTACACCGGACCCACCTCAGTGCCAAAGCTCTGGCTTGGCATTGTGTGCTGTGCAGAAACATCATCTTTGGGCTTCATGGGCTCAGCGGGAGAACCGGACACTGTGAAGTGGCCCTGGTCATCCAGACCAGCACTGCGCACACACACAAAGTTAAAAACATCCATAAACGAGTTCAAAGTGCGGTCAGGAATCAAATGGTGGATGTTACAAGCTTACTCATCCTGTCTCTCCATGTCGTCTGGATGAACTTGAAGGTCTAACGGCGTTTGCTGCTCTTCCGCATCTGCTTGATCGTCTACCAACTGATGCGCAAGTGTGACGTGTGAAGGTGAAACGAAACCGTCCTGAGCAATGATGTGCTCAGTCAGACTCACCGTAGCATCGGGGGGCTGAATTGTGAAGGATTCTGTCTCATCTTCTGCTGCTTCCGGGTACTTCTGCTGGCTAGTTACTATAGCGGGACTGACAAAACACACGCGGCTAAGCTAGCATAATTAGCTTTTAGCCTGCGAAAAGCAAGCTAAAACACTCACTCCTCTAATGGCGGCCTTGAGGCATCTTCCTCCTCCTCAGTGGCGACCGTGACTGTCTTCACTGAAGCAAGACCACAAGGCTGTGGGAATTCAGTCATCCTTGGGTTCAATATCTGTTCGCAAAAATTTTTAAAAAAGGACACAAGTTAATATTCTGTGTTGCAGAAACAGCTATAAGTTTGGGTATGATTTTAGAGTAAACGACTCGAAACATGTTGGATTATTCTGTTTATAATTGGGTGACCTGCACAGCGCACGGTACAGACACCAATATGATCGAGAAATGATGATCTTCGCCCACCTTGAGTTCAGCCCTGAGTAGGATCTCACTTTCGGGCAAGGCTCCATCCAGAGGCAACCACTCATCCAGGACCAGCTGAGGTTCTGACAGCAGCTCTTTCACAGGAACCACCAGTGAGCCCATCGGCTGGTCCCAAGCACTGGATAACTACGGACAAAATATCGCAAGAGTACACTTAGCGAGAGACCGTATGCTTTCGAGACAATGAGTATTTTTACCTTGATGACGAGCATCTCCTCAGTAGGGTCACGGACCAAAAAATAGAATGCTTCGTTCCACTCAGGGGACCTTGTGCGATCACAAACCTTCACGCGGGTAGAAGGTCGGTCAATTAAAGTAGGCACGGATAACATCAATTAACTCCGTAGTATTAGCTTGCTTGTGGTAGCATCTTTTGCTTTATTTGTCCCATAAAATTCTGTGAAACCTAACTGTGGTAAATTAAGTTGTGTCGTGTCACTGATAATTAATAAATAAATACTGTAGTTTAAACATACTTATTGGTCAGAAAAAAATATATATATACTAGTATAATACATGACTTTACCTTAGTTTTGTAGGTTGTGTTGCCAAAAACAAGCTCAGCCCCAGCCTTTGGCTCCTTGCCACTTTTCTTAAACTGGACGCAAAGGAAAACAAATTGCTTTAAACATCACAGTGTTTATGAGATAAATGTTTATAAGTATGCAACATGCCCATTTTTTTGGTTATATACTAAAACTAGTGCAGTCAAATGATAAAAATATTTAATCGCACCTAAATGTATAAATGTCATAGTTAACTCATAATTTAGCAATTAAACACACATTTGTATCTATTCTAAATTTCCTTTGATTTCGTTTTGTCCTATTCTTTTCCCATTTTAATGCTCTCATCAACATTGAATCGTGGATCAGTTTTCTTTGTGCAAAATGCTAATATTTACTGAAACAATTTCGATTTTCGATTTTACATGAACATTTTTCCCTGAAGTTCGATTTTCAATTTTACATCAACATTTTTCCCGTGGAGCAGCTATTCCAACTTGGAGCACATTTTATTATTTTAGCGCAACGTAACATCCGCTGTGATGTGGTGCCGCATTAATCTCGCGATAAAAAAACTTAATCCCGTTAAAATTGATTTACATGAATGCCGATAATAACGCGTTAAACTGACAGCACTAACTAAAACACAACTAAAATCTAATTAGATTCTAAACAGGTATTTGTATCTCACGTAAATGATGAGGATTTTGGAATGGCAAAAAAAACAAAAACTGTTTTTTTTCTTCACATCGGTGCCATTATTTATAATACAGAGGACCCACGTATACTCGCAGTTCGGCACTTGTGGACTGGGCATCCATAAAAGAATATACTGTATTATCTGAGAGAGGCTCTTTGTCATGTGAAGAGGCGACTCACAGGCAATGAGTGTGCTCTGTCCACATAGACAAAGAGCAGAGCTGCAGAGGGAACGGTATTGTTCTTGAATGACTGCAACGACTGCAGATGCATCACCTGAAAAAATACACAGAACTTTACAGTATCCATAATATAGTTGTCATGGGTCATGGAGGGGATTCAGAGGTGACAAAATTGGTTAAAACCTGGCACATATCAAGAACAGTTAAAAAAAAAAGGGCTTTATTTTATCGGCACTGACAATGTTGGAAATAACAATGTAGTATTTGCACGTGCAGCATGAGCACGAGTTAAAAAAAAAAGGGCTTTATTTTATCGGCACTGGAAATAACACTGTAGTATTTGCACGTGCAGCATGAGCACAGCAGGATGTTCTTACTTTGTCCAGGGTGCCATTGTGGGACACTGTTTGGACCCACTCAAGTATGAGACGGACACGACCGCACTTAACGTCACTCAGAGCGTACCACTGCAAAAATAGGCAAACGTTTACTGAGCGAAAACGAATTCAACATCTTCAAAAAAGCAAGCTGGGTGTCTAACTCACCTGGTCTGTGTACTGGGAGCGAATGATGTCTGCCATACTGACGTTAAACCTGTTGACAGTCATTTAGTGATTGAGCGTGTGTGACGGTGTGTGAAGTGTGCTGAGGGGTCTTGCAGACTTGCTCCATCACTTCCTCACCTTCCTAAAAAGTCATCTTTGTCCATGTCTTTGTCATACAGCTCCACGCGGACGTCCTGTCCTGCCTGAGGCCGCATCACCACCTGGTGGGAACCCAGAGGGTAGATTACCGTCCCATATAAAAGAAAGGAACCCTTTTGATTTTGTATTCTGTAAATGTATCCACATGACATAAAAACAAAACAACAAAAGGTCCTGTTGGGATTCTTAGTCAAAGTCCGTGTCACAGCAGTTAAGTGCTCTGCTGACTTGAAATGAGCGATTGCTTCGACTGCTATCGAGATCATTTTAATTGAGATAACACACAGAGTATAAGCTATTTTATCTCAACTCATGCTAAGCACCTGATACATCTCATTCCAGACGGGGTTGAGATTCTCCTTGACAACGTTGCTTTTAAATGTGGTCTCTCCGATGGCGATCTTTGCGTAGGGGTCACTCTTGCCCTTCTTCAAACCCCCCATCAGGTTGTCCTTGGGGACCAGATCCTGAGCCTCCATGAGGATGATTCTCATTAGCCCCTACAGGGAGAAAAAGGGCGATTTTTACACCGGAGGCGATCGCAAGATCAATTGGGATCAAGCGTCATTTGAAACTTAATGCGGACATTTATAGGCTTTTAAATGTATGAGACCACTTGGAGGAAGGGCCTTTTCTGTTTCAGCATGACAGCAACGTCCATAAAGGAACGCGTGATAGACTTTGACAGATAAAATTCCGACAGACACATCAACATTTTGGGAAAGTTATCCCAGGAAAAAAAAGGGAAGCATTTTTCGTCTATTTTTCACACTTCCTTGTCTCAATACTTTTGTCCATTAAAAAAAATAAAATAAAATCATGATGTCATTAATGCCATTACCTCATTGGCAAAGCTAACGTCTGGTGAAGTATGAGGAGGTTTCACCGCAGCAGGACTTGATGCTTCTTCGTTGGTATCTTTCGTCACATCAGCGACAGGCGTTTTTACATCAACTTCGTCGCGCATCATCACTTGCGGCACGAGGGTTTCTACAGGGGGATCCACTGAACTTGACCTAAAAAGACACACTTAGTATCAGATGCGGAGAAAATTCATTCAATCTGTGATAAAGACTTTCTGGATACGCAAGAGTGACTCACTTTTGGATTAGAACACCCTCACGTTTCTGCTGATCGGGAAAGGGTTTTGCTTCTTTCAAACTGGCACGGGGACACTTGCTTGGTACTAGCATCTGCAATCGGGAAAAACAGTAGGAAGTTTTGAAAGACGTCATATTTGAAGGACTTATACGGATAAAATCTCTCCTACCTTAAGTTCAGCCCGAAGAAGAATCTGACTCTCGGGAGAGGCTCCGTCCAGATGGAACCACTGATCCAAGACCAGCTCAGGCTCAGCCAGCAGTTCCTTGATGGGAACCACTAAGGAACCCATGGGCAATGTCCAACTGTGGGAGAGCTGGAGAAATATAAATTTTAGCACTCAAGTTCGAGTAACTCCGGTGTGGGAGGAACAACATGATCAGCAGCAGTGGAACTGCCAGTTAGGAATTTTAAGGCCCAAGCGAACAAAAACTGGCTGCAAATCAATTGGGGGTTGAGTGATTGCTGGATGGAAAACCAGTTCTTTCCTAAACTCTGCCACGGTGCCAACAAACCAAGGTTATTATACTTAACGCAAACTAACTAATTAATGTTCATGTTAGTGGAATAAAATAAGGATTAAAATGCCTTAAAAAAACGTAAACTAAAAGCTAAGAAGGCTACTCTAATAACCAATTAAAATGAACAGAATTAAAAAAAAAAAGTCAGAACGAAATAAAAACTTGTGTATAATGAAAAAAAAAAAAAATGACATAACTGATTCGTATGATGATGACAAACAAGCCCACCGAGCGGGTATTGAACACTTTCCCAATGCCTTGAATTGCTTTTGAAAAGATTTACTGTTTGTCTGACTGACCTTGACAAGAAGAATATCCTCTCTGGGGTCACGGACCAAGAAGCAGAAGGCCTCATTCCACTCGGGCGATATAGAGCGATCGCACACCTGCAGCGGAGATGAAAGACGTCGGGGATGTCATTCAATCGGTTATTGTGGCGCTCTCGACAGCATTTTCAACCAAAAGAGGAGGGGGGGGGGTGTCTTACGGTAGTTTTGCGGGACATTTCTCCAAGAACTATCTGTGCTCCCACTTTTGGCTCCTTTCCACTCTTTTTCACCTGTTGATATAGAAATCATGGGTAATAATAAACCAAGAGGATGTGTGTTCACGTGTGTATTTACTGTTACATTCTCCTTCACAGATCCATCGTCCCACAAACTTACTGGTAAACCATCAGCCTGTTCGATGAAGACAAACAGAAGACCCGCAGACGGAACCGCCTTGTTCTGGTAGGATTGCCTGGAATAGAACTGAAGGACCTGAAGGGACAGAAAAGAGCAAGTGAATCGCCATCATTATCATTTTCACCATGGCACTGTTTCTGTTTCAAATACCAAACCTGATCCACTTGGTCTGCTTCTGAAACTGTTGGAACCCATTCCAGTACCAGGTGAACCCGACCGGACTTGACATCATTGAGAGAGTACCACTGATTCATGAATGAAAAAACACACACACACACACACACACACATACACATTTTAATACCGCTGCAACCGGGTGTGCTGAAAATAAGGGCCAGTGTGAGCTATTCTCTCATGATTTCAATTTTTTTTTTACTATTTTTCTAAAATCAAATCCATTTGGTCTTCATGAGGATCACACGACTCCCAATAGCCTAACCCAGCTGACTTCTGGCGGGGAAGCGGGGTACATACACCCTTGGACTGGCTGCCGGGCAGTTTGAGGGCACTCATACCTAATTCCAAGCAAATTAATACTTGTGCGTTCGTACCTGATCAGTGTACTGAGAATCAATGATGTCCTTGAGATTTATCTTGAGCCTTTATTTGAGGGGCAAAGTGAGATTAGTTTCCACCCCTAATTAGTCACTTAATGTTCATCAGTACATATAAGATGGCACTACCTTCCCATGAAATCATCCTTCATGTCCATGTCTTTATCCAACACCTCCAGAATTAGCTCCTGACCGGGCAACTGTGTCAAAATCACCTGAGGAAGGAAAAAAAAGTTGATTGTATATCAAAGCCATGATCGTGGAAGGGTTCCTTCAACTGATTCCGGGCATTTATTCACCTCATACATCTCATTCCAGGTGGGGTTGAGATTGGCCTTGATGACTTCGCTTGTGAATGTTTCCCCGCCGATATTGATCTTGACATAAGGGTCACTTTTGCCTTTCACCATGCCCCCCATCATGTTGTCTTTGGGAACAAGGTTCTGCCCGGCCAGCAGGTGGATTCTGAGCAGGCCCTGCAAAAACAAGTGATACAGAATTAGCGGAATGAGGGGCGAGACGTCGGCGCGTAGGACCAGGACCAGCTCTATCGATACCTCGGTGGCAAAGCTGGAGTGAGGAGAGGTCTCCTGGGGTAACTGTTTGCCTCCAGATTCCAGGTGAGATGACACATCAGATGTAATATGTTCTTCATCTAGCCACAGCATCTACAACGTGTGGAAGAACACTTTCACGTGGACTTTTCTGCTGCGTAACCGCGGTCCAAATTCACGAGTCGTTCATTTACCCTGAGAACTGCGTTAATATAAATGCGACTGGCTGATCCAGAGTTGTCCAACTGGAACCACTGGTCCAGAGAGAGGCCAGAAGTGGACAGCACGCGAGAGAGAGGGATGGTCAGGCTGCCCAGTGTCTGCACACGGTCAACATCCTTCACCTGGTTCAACCCAGTTGAAAGACAATCATCAATGCTTCTGAACGACGCGGTTTCAATCAGTGCTATGCATGCATCATCTCTTGAAATTGAAGATATTCTGACAAGAATGAGGTGGGCTCAATAACCCAAATCAGAGCTAGGGGAGGTTGGCTTAAGATAATCGGAAAGTATCATTCAAGCCATCCCTCTACTTAACTCCAAGGAAATTGGTTATGTATGTAGGTTTTTTTGCAATACATTGAGCTAACAGGCTAATTAACAACAACAACAACAAAATAGCAATCAAAATATTGTCCCTGTGCTTGGCAGTGCTTATTACAGCTTATTACAGAATTATTACCTTTGTAAAGTCACTTGCATTAGATCTCATTAGGTTGAACCTAAACACTGTGAGGATAAAGCAGCGGATGAAAGGTTACCTGGATGTCAATATCCTGTTTGCGTGGATCCTGGATAAAAAAAGTAAATGCTTCTTCCCACTCTGGATCGACCGTTGTGTAACACGTCTTCAAATGATAACAAACAGAAGAAGCGGTTAGAGTCACAGAACCAATAAATGCGGCATAATAGTTGACATTGTGATTTATGTTAACCTTGCTCTCCCTGGTGATGTCTTGCACAGATAACTGCACCATGGGGTTGGGCTCTTTATTCCCCTTTTTCATCTACAAAAATGAAATATTGTTTTTTAATGAATAAATAATAGAGCATGTGACTTGTATGAGAGAAACATTGAGAAAAAAAAGTGTGGAAATCCGCCAGCAACTTGTATACAAGGAAGCAAGCATTCTATGAGTCACATCTAAGGAGGCAAACAGCTACATGAAGACCACAATGTGTTCCACACATTTTGTCACGGGAGGAGGGGCTAAAAGTAGCCTCACTCTCGTCTGCGAGCGGGGTTAGAGGCCACGGGAACAACTGTGTGGAATCCTCGACAGATGGCAAAGAGCGGCGACGTCGTAACCACACAGGAAGCAACCGTGAGCCGTGCGAGCGAGTTGACTCACTGGAAGCGCTTCGGCCTTGTCGAGATAGACCACCAAAATGGCGGAGGAGGGCGGGTCGGCCGTCTTACTGGTCACGCTCTCGTTCCTTTTCAGGATCTGGAATGACAGAGAGTTCCAGGGACAGTTTCTTAGCTACATTGTGGTTCCAGTGAAAAGAAAAAGACAAGACATCCGGCATACGATGCACAAAACAAGCTCACCTGTTCGAGTCGATCAGTGGTGGGCATCAAAGCCAACCACTCCAGTTTAAGATGGACCCGACCTGAAGGAGTATCTTTCAAAGGGAACCACTGAGGACACGAGAACATAATGAGACAGACCACTTTGCACAATCTTACAAAGGATCAAAACTATTTTTTAAAATTATTTTTTTGGGAGTTTGCAATAGTGGAACTGAGAGTTGACTTAAGAATGTAACGAAAACCACAAGTATATTGCTAATTACATTAATAAATAATTATAAACATTGTTAGTTTACTACAGGTACTCATCTGACAGTGTCAAATACATTTGTAAAGGCTGTCGGGAAATTTGGTGATGGTCAGGTTTCAGTTATGCAACATCTTATTGACAAACAACCACCTAGCAAGCCTCGCAAATTAATGCTATTAATAAGGAAATATTCCAAAATGATAACAAAACCAAAATGAGCATTTTCTTACATTATCAACAGCGATGGACTTCTTCACAATGCCCAAATCCAATTTGGTCCTACGTGGAAGAAAAAAAAATAAATGAAGGCATTAATAAAACAAATCAGTGAATCCACCTTGGGGGGAAAAACAAATATGTGATTATCTCATCACACAGAGCTTGAAATGCATGACACTAAACACACAAACACAAATTACAACAGAGGAATATGAATGATACACATATACCTGCCCAGGAAATCATCCTGATCTGGATCTTTGTCATAAACTTCCACCTCCAGTTCCTGACCAGGCACTTCATGGACTATCACCTGGTGCGCCGGACACAAGTACAAAGAAATGCATACAGACACAATGGTTGGGAAATGGCTGTGGGGGTCACACTGAATGAATGAAAACGGAACATTGAAAGTCATTCCCATGTGTCCGGAGTGGAATGACGGCGAGTGAACGTTGCAATGTAATCGTAAGCCCTCCATGTTCCTTACCTCGTACATCTCTCCCCACTTGGGTGAGTCTGTGTTGTCAAAGTGGTGGGATGTGAACATCTGAGGACCCACCCGCAAGATGGCGTAGGGGTCTGACAAGCCCGCCATAACCCCTTTCACGTAGCTGTCCTTTGCGGCTAGATTCTGGGCCTCCACGAGGTGGATGCGCACCACACCCTTTGGGAAGACAAGGACAGTGTTTGATACGACGGATGTGGAATGTATGGTCATGAGTTGCTGCTGTGTACCGCATCGTTACCCTGGGCAAAGGGGAGCGAAGATGCGCCAAATGCAGGTTTGGAACCAGGGGGACGACCAGACGGTTGGGCAGCACCAAGAAGGAAGCGATGGCATCCATGATCATGCTGTCAGACATGACGCTGAAGACAAAAACGGAGGAAACGTTCCACTGGCATTACAACAATGTCATCGTAATATATTATGGTAAAAAGCTACCTCGTCAAAAAGCTGACAATAGAAAGGTTTCTGTCACCTGCATAATTAACACACAACCAAAGATTAGTGAAGTTGAATTTGCTTGTTTTATGCATAGTAAGTTCCGTGAGCATGAATAATAACATTCATTCATTCATTCATTTATTTTCCGATCCGCTTAATCCTCACAAGGGACGCGGGGGCGCTAGAGCCTATCTCGGGCAGTAGGCGGGGGACACCCTGAACCGGTTGCCAGCCAATCGCAGGGCACACAGAGACGAACAACCATCCACACTCACACTCACACCTTGGGACAATTTGGAGTGTTCGATCAGACTGCCAAGCATGTTTTTGGAATGTGGGAGGGAACCGGGGTACCCGGAGAAAACCCACGCAGGCCCGGGGAGAACATGCAAACTCCACTCAGGGAGGCTGCAGCTGGAATTGAACCCGGTTCCTCTGCACTGTGAGGCCGACGCGCTAACCACTGGACCACCGGGCCGCCCCAATAATAATATTAATAAAAAATAATAATTAATAATAATCATCATCATCATCATCATAGGTCGGGTTAAATAGCCAGTAGAAACATATCACTGAAGTAATCTTATTTGCCCGGCTAAATCAAGCTATTTCTCATTTTTAATATTGTGAGAACGAGATAAGGCCGAGCATGACTCACTTCAGTCCAGGAATATCCAACAGATTAGTCAGTCCAGTCCAGTTGATATCCAGTTTCTGGGACAACATAAATAAATATATGAGAGATGTAAACAAATATTGCAAATCAATCAAGATGGGAGTCAATAGTCGAACAATACGAAGCCACAATACTCACAAGAGAGGCTTGGGGGAGGGGTATGCAACAAGAAAAGGACAAATAAAAGGTGAATGCAGATAGATGAACCTACAGGTCTGCGGATGAAGAACATGGTGACTGCACCCACAATGGGCACGTCTCCGATCAGAGGCTCCAGAATGACTCGCATCATCCCATTCAACTACATTGACACAGAGGGGAAAGAAATGTGACATCTGCGTGGAGATTCCTTCAATCGTGGCACAGAATACTCCTCATGACGATGACTCACTTGTATTCCTTTGACTCCAGCTTTGCAGAAGTATCTCTTTACTTCCACATTGATCTCTACGTTGCCAACGTAGCTAAGAGGAACATGTCACCCACATTTTTTTTTTGAGCATTTTAAAATACCGTACTGGCCCGAATATAAGACGATGTTTTTTGCATTGAAATAAGACTGAAAAAGTGGGTGTCGTCTTATATTCAGGGGTCTAGACATTATACCCATTCACGACGCTAGATGGCGCCAATATGATTGAAGCGAATGCTGAACTCGACTTCCCAGGCCAAAGTGAACCCCTGCCACGAAGAATAAAAATAAAAATAGCGGTAGCAGGAAGAAGAAAAATAAAAAATAGCGGTAAGAAGGAAAAGAGAAGAAAATAATAGAAGAGATAGCAGAAAATGGAGAAACGTAGTAACAATCTGGAGAAAAGTGGGTCGAAGATCGGCCACTTAGGAGAAGTTATGATGTAATTTACATTTCAAAAACCAGAAGCCATTCATTGACGAATGTGATTGCACTTTAGATTTGAATGAGGCAAAATAACATGCTCTTTCTCTGAAATATATTGTTATAATCATTTGTTTCAGATGTACTGTAATTATTTTCTGTATAAAAATTTATTTGGTGTTCAAAAAGTCTTTTTTCAAACTTGAGTCTTGAAAAAGAGGGGATCGTCTTATAATCAGGGCCGTCTTATATTCGGGCCAATACGGTATGTGATCAGAACTGCCCGAGAGCGTGAGGTAACATTTTACCTGATGTAGAGATCAAGTAGGACCTGTCGCTTGTCATTCTCTGTGTGTGCCTTGATCCCGACCACCTTCATGGCCTGCAGGAAAACAGAACACGCAATAACGTAAGTTCAACGGGTCTAAATCATAGCATCAAAGTAAAAATAAATAAATAAATAAAAGACGTCACCTTGTCGCCCATGTCCACTTTGGTGAAACTGAGCGTCTGGAGGTGGTTGCTTGAGGCTCGGATAGACGGAGCGATGGTCTCCACCAGGAGCTTCTCCAGGTACTGGCCCACAAAGGGCCACACCTGCTGCAGCACCTACAACAACACACAATTGGCATTTAGAAAGTGCATTTTGTATTTCCTTGGGTAGTCTCTGTGTGATATTAAAATTGGCTTGAGGAACTGAAATCTTTTTATGTGATAAATATGCAAAGAACACAGAAAGCAGGAAGGGGGCAAAGACTATTTTCACAGCAATGTATACTGCCAATGTTAAATTATAGCAAACTGTCATTTTTTCCAGTGTTATGCTTTAAAAAGATAGCAAATGTTGACAAAAATTTAAGGGGTGTAATCACTTTTGTGAGATATTCTACGATGTATTTTCCTGTGTCAGAATTTGATTTCAACTGCTATCTGAAAGTGTATCTGGGTCACGCAGGAAATCACGACGATAATTCTTTCCGCTTTGTAGCCAGAGGATGCCGCTTCAGGTTTTTATCGTGCATTCATAAATATATGCAAAAAAAAAAAAAATCTAAAAGGCACCCTAAGATACCAATATTGACTTTATTTTTATTTTTTGGTCATTGAAATAGTGTCAGTACAATGGTGACGCGGTGCATTGCATCATAAAGATAGCTTTTTTCCCCCAATATTTTCACTGTCCTGTAGCTAAATGAGTAAATGATCAGAAAGCACATTTCACGACAATAATAAATACACCGTTCGATGAATGCCTCTCAAAATTGAGCATTACAATCTGTAAAGGTGTAACTTGTTGACAGAGCTAGTGAGTCTCCTTAGAGGTCCTAATGTTGCGGTAAGTCAGTGCATGTGTTAAAAACAGTAAATCAACAAAAAAGGCGGTAGCAAAATGTACGTTTTAACTCGGCAAATTGAGCGCATGTGGCCTTTTGCGTTAAAAAAAAGCAGCTGACTCCTTATGACCAAACATGACCAACTCAACTCATGGTGCGACTGCTCCTGTTGCCATGAAAACACATTCTAGTCCCGCAGGGGAAAGAATGAGAAGCAGGCGCAAGAGATATTCTACGATGTATTTTCCTGTGTCAGAATTTGATTTCAACTGCTATCTGAAAGTGTATCTGGGTCACGCAGGAAATCACGACGATAATTCTTTCCGCTTTGTAGCCAGAGGATGCCGCTTCAGGTTTTTATCGTGCATTCATAAATATATGCAAAAAAAAAAAAATCTAAAAGGCACCCTAAGATACCAATATTGACTTTATTTTTATTTTTTGGTCATTGAAATATTGTCAGTACAATGGTGACACGGTGCATTGCATAATAAAGATAGCTTTTTTTTCCCAATATTTTTACTGTCCTGTAGCTAAATGAGTAAATGAGCAGAAAGCACATTTCGCGACAATAATAAACACACCGTTTGGTGAATGCCTCTCAAAATTGAGCATTACAATCTGTGAAGGTGTAACTTGTTGACAGAGCTAGTGAGTCTCCTTAGAGGTCCTAATGTTGCGGTAAGTCAGTGCATGTGTTAAAAACAGTAAATCAACAAAAAAGGCGGTAGCAAAATGTACGTTTTAACTCGGCAAATTGAGCGCATGTGGCCTTTTGCGTTAAAAAAAAGCAGCTGACTCCTTATGACCAAACATGACCAACTCAACTCATGGTGCGACTGCTCCTGTTGCCATGAAAACACATTCTAGTCCCACAGGGGAAAGAATGAGAAGCAGGCGCAAGTTTGTTTTGTGTGTTGGTCTGTGTGACTTTCATAAATGGTTGGCAACAACTGGCATAAGTGGAGAATGAGTCATCAGATGCCTGCTCACATGAAGGCCTCCATGTACTAGTTGCACACTCAAAACTCCACTTTGTGTGCCCCAAACATCTTGTGATCCTATTAGCCTGGTTGATGTGATTTTTCTATGACATTATAATCAACAAAAGTGGAAATGAGGGGAGGGAGAGCCTTTGAACAAAGCCGGCTGTTTGAGTTTCTTCATGTTGGGGGATGCTCCTCCCCCCTTCCTGTGAGCAGGGCCGCAGTAAAGTGGAAATGTTGAGTGGGGTTGACTGGCACGAATGCTGTACTGCTGCTGCGTTTGCTGTACAGCCTGTGTGGCTGCAACAGCAGAGGGGGTGTCGCCTTCGCTGTCTGCAACATGGCTGCAGCCATAAGCAAGCGTCACGTGTCGATGCAGAAGCGTCAGTCAGCACAGCAGCTGCGTTTGTTCCCGTGTGCGCTTCCATTAAAAAAAAAAAAAAAAACAGATTATTTTTACCTTATTCAGCCATTCTACTTTCTCAACGTCTGGAAAGTTGACCTGTGGTGAAGAAGAAAAAAAAAGGACATACGCTGGTTAAATTGTGTTTAGGTACATAAGTATACTTTGCATTGTTGAATGAGATCCAATAGAAGAGTCAAAAACACTGACTTAAAGAAGTTTAAATTGCAGAATTTCATTTAAGGTGTCACTTAAGTCTTTAAATTGTCCTTGTGTGAATGATTTGTTTGCCTCTAAGTGCCCTGTGATTGGCTGGTGACCAGTCCAGTGTAATATGCCTGTCCATAGTTTGCTATGTTTGGCTCCAGCTCACCTGCAACCCTCGCCCTGGCACTATAGAAAACAGATGGATGAATTTATAAATGCAAATTGTATTACAAACCTTTCTCAGTAAAAATGCACTGCAGATGACGGTGCACCAAACATAGTGACTGGTGCAGATCTATTTCCCAAGTTAATCATTGTTGCCGCAGTGCTTCTATTAATCACGTTTAATACCTTAGTGTTTCTTAATACGAAGTCAACTGAATAAAAATACTGTCAAGAAATGCTATATTTATCACAGAGTAAGTCATTGTCATGTAACTGAAAGAACTGCTCAGTTAACACTTTTGTCATTGTGCATTTCATATATGCCGAGGAGAAGCCTTCGTGTGCACATGATCATTTCTCAGTATGCTTCATGCATTCTGTCTGTTTGCCAACACAATCGTGGAAAACCACTCAGACGGGAAGTATCCACAAGGACCTCACTCGGCTGGGTGTGGCCTCACAGAAGAACTTGTGGCAATCTGCATGTCCATTTTGGGCTTATGCTGTCAGGATGCACTGGCAGATGCATTGATTCCACTTTCAGTCAAGGAATCATTTAAAACTTCTAAAATCTTGCAATCGCTCGCTTGATTATGAGAGTGATGTCAAAAGTATCAAACAGTTTTATTCTACACAGTAAGTCAAATGCTGTGAGGCTGCCCTGAGTGTTTTCTCTGCGTGTTGTTTTTGTTTTGCTGGTGTATGTCGTGCAATTCAATAAAACTGATATGTGAGGGGGACACGTCTTACCCACGCAGGGAGATCTCGCTTTATTTTGGACATTTTCAAGCTGCCGAACTCCTGTTCGTCGCCGAGCAGTTGCATGGCCGACCTGAGCCTCTCTTCTTTGGCCTCGCGAGCGTGCTTCCATCCCGTGTACACCATCATACCGCAAACCAGCAGGCTAGTGCTGACCCGGTAGTAGCCAGCCAGGTAGACGGGCAGCAAAGCGCCCAGGCACTTCCCAAAAGTCCACAGCACCGCCACGGCATTAATCCCCTGGGCTGGGGGATGAGGTTGTACTTCGCTTCCGTGACTCGGCGCGCTCATTTCGGGCTTTTCTGGGCCCGAACCCTCGGCGACTTTCGGCTCCACTTCACTCTGCATTTTCCCTTAAGTCTTTGAACTGACGGATGAATGCCGTAATAAACGTCTTAAACAAAAATAGCCGTTAAAGAGCGTTTTTTTTGCCGACTTAATCCGCCGACATTTACCTCAATGCGTCAGGCAATCGTTCAAGTACAAATATCCAGATTGTCGCTGTAATTCATTTAAGGTCCGAAATGCATATTTAATGCGACTGCTAAACTGCCCGCCTGCTGTATTCAACACCTGGGCCGGGGGATGATGGTGTACTTCGCTTCCGTGACTCGGCGCGCTCATTTCGGGCTTTTCTGGGCCCGAACCCTCGGCGACTTTCGGCTCCACTTCACTCTGCATTCTCCCTTAAGTCTTTGAACTGACGGATGAATGCCGTAATAAACAACGTCTTAAACAAAAATAGCCGTTAAAGAGCGTTTTTTTACCGACTTAATCCGCCGACATTTACCTCAATGCGTCAGGCAATCGTTCAAGTACAAATATCCAGATTGTCGCTGTAATTCATTTAAGGTCCGAAATGCATATTTAAGGCGACTGCTAAATCCGCCTGGTTGTGGTGGTTTTGCGGTAGGTTTTGCACAAGTCGCTCTGAGTTGTGCTCTCTCTCTTTACCATTCCCGTTATCTCGACGAAAACACGCCCACTGGAATGAAATATGCATCCTTGACTCCTTACTGGTCCCAGGACTGAACCAAACCATGCTAAAACCACTTGGGCGACCGTCTGCAGTTTGGAGCTATGTTTTAAAATTCACTCAATGCATATTATAATGCTTCGGGTAGCCGGAACACTCGACAAGAATTCTCGACTTGGTAATGTTCATGCGTAGCTTCAGACGCAAAACTGGTGCATTCGGAGAGAATTGCACCGTTGCATCGTATGATCTCCAAATTTTGCCTGTCAAACCACAAAAGACGCGTTAAAAATAAAGCGAACATTTCTTTAAGGCACCTCGGTAGGAATACACACACAATTGTGTCGCTTCCTAATTTAAACGTAAAACCCCTCCTACAACCAGTTTGTTATAAGCATCAAATAATGGACATTACTTGATTCAGGTTTGTTCAGTCACGCACGGATAAACTGTGTAAGTAGAAAGTATTATACCAAGTTTATACAACGTGACCCCACCCTTTAAACTCAATAGGCAAAGAGTTGGAAGAATGCTTTGCTCCTGGTGTTCACACTACTGTATTTATTTTGTGTGTGCGCGCATGCCCCGGGAGAAAGACGGTACAGTACTCACTTGCATTGTCTTTTTTCAGATCTTAAATGTTTTTTACGCAACCCACGATGGGTCTAGTGCAGGCGTGAACATAAACTCGATATTCACCTTTCAACAAAAATATTTACGTGTACATTAGTCATAATTATCAGGAAAAAAACTCAAGTCCATTGCATCATGAGCAGACAGTACTGTAGTATCTGTTTCCTGTATTGGTGTGACGTCATAGAAAGGGGAGGAGCCAGGTTGGGGGAAGATTGGCTCCGGTAGTCAGTCTGAGTGTAGAGCGCATGGGCGTGAGTTGTGGCTAACAGCAACTCCTTTGAATGCGTGTGTTTACTGCCTTACTTGTTTATTAAATACCGACGAATTGTATCTGCGACTGCGTGCATCCTTCTCTCCGCTATTGAAGGGCATTACAGTACTGTATAGGGCCAATAGTGTCTCTACTGCCCTCTGGTGGGTGAAACAGGTTTAACCTGACCCGCAATAGAAAAACATTCAATCAGAAAAGAACACACGTGAAAAGTAGTTTCAGTTATACCAGAATCAAGTCGTAACACAAGATGAATAAAGTCCATCCATCCATCCATTTTCAGATCTGCTCATCCTCACAAGGGTTACGGACGGAAAAATTTTTATTTATCCATTCAATTTATGTAGCACGTATACATTAGGGTCAGAAGTGTGCCAGTCTTTCCCAGCCCCAAATGACTTTGAAATTAAGTGATTATTTATTCAAAAATGTTTATTGTGAACTTCATGTAACTACAATTCATCTATCAAATTTACCACGGAAAAATGAAGGCAAAACCAACAATTAGTGTAGATATTAATCATACATCACACATTATCTATATTTGTGAAACGATTTTTGGCTGATGATCAAGCCACAAAAAGAGAAATGCATAGCACATTTAGTGTATTGTTTTAATTTTATTCTTTTAGTAAAACAAATTTGAACTTTTCGTATTCTTGTATTTGTCACATCATTTCGGTGTTTTCATTGCAGCCTGAAAGTCAGTTTGAAGACCCCCACAGATCGCTTTATAACCAATTATATCAGGTAATATGAGGCAGAGTGGTGATCCTCATGCTCTGACTGGCGATAGGGTATGACACCATGGGCGTGGTAGCATGGCTCATGGTGATGCCCGGCGGAGGCTGCGTCATGGACACGGCCACCGGAGCCACAGACACGGCCACCGGCGCCATTGACACGGGAGGGCCAATCCCCTGGGCGATGGTTTGCGCCAGAGCGGCCGACAGCGGCGTGATTTCGGGGTTGAGGTGAGGGGGAGGCGCCGTCGGGGGGGCGGCGTTTGTCGGGGGCGCCGCGGGAGCACCGGTGGACGCCACCAGGTCTTGTTGGGTGACAGGTCGAGGCTGCAGCCCGGTGCTGCTCAGTGTGGTGTGAGTCTGGGCGATGCCGTGATTGTATGAGCTGACCGCACCCACGGGGGCTGCCAGAGTCTGCTCAGTGGGGGCAGGCGTCATCACTTTGGCCTGACTTCGGAATTGGGCATTCTGCTCCAGGAGAACTTCATTTGTGGCAATGAGGTTGGCAACCTGAGGAGAGGGGACAGAGATTAGAATCAGAAGCAGTTCGACTGAGTGCTGACAAATTTACTGAATTTAAATGGTGCTGTCGTTCTAACCTGTTTCTTCAACTCTTCCACTCTCTTCCTCAGCAGGTTGTTCTCCTCCTCCAACAACCTGTACTCCACAGGGCGCGTAGGCAAGGCCGCCTGGACTCCGAGCTCGTAGTGGCCACTGACGCTGCTATCTCCAAGTCGCAGGCCTTCCAACCGCCGCCTTTTGATCTGGAGGGCAGTCTGCTCCAATGAGCTGTCCAGACTTGTGGAATCGAAAAGCCCACTCTCGAGTAAGGGGTCGTACACCGACAAAGAGCTCCTGTCAAAACGCCTCTGTCCTGAGGGGCCTACTGCCAGACAGCCGCTCATTCCTCCCACACTAACGCCTCCGACTCCTGCGAGGCTTGGATCTCTGCAACCGCCCAAGCTCGGGCAGCCCATCCCAATTATATTATTTCCACTCACACCTCCCACAAGTCCTGGAATCCCCCCACTGGTTCCTCCTGCGGCTCCTCCACCACTGATGCTACTTCCTGCATTCACCATTCCACTTGCACCAGCTCCGATCACGCCACTTGCTCCAACCCTGGCAGCCTCATATTCATAGTCTTTTTGGACATGGCGAAATTTACACTTACTGCCTCTCTGGCATTCCCCTTTCAAAAAGTCTCTGCAGATTGGGACCTCCCCTCTGCTATGCGGCAGATCAGTGGGGGAGAGGCCAAGTCGCGCTGCAACTTTCCCTCTCAGTGCGAGTGGCAACTCTCCGCTTTTCTTATAATAGTCTTCATCCTCTTTAGATCCATGTACAAAGCGACAGTTGACACGCAGGCACTCTTTGTTCTGGTAATCGTGGCAGAAGATGAATTCATTCTTTTGCACCCCCAAGTCTGGTACCTCATTAAAGTCGGGATGCTTGAAGCGACAACGCTTCCCTCTCTTGCAGACATTGCGAATAAAATCCCTGCAAACCCCATCTGGTGTTAGTCCAGTTCCTTGCATCGCACCTCCCCCATTCCCACAACTACTGCCATTGCCTAATGCCCCTCCTCCTCCCATGCCACCAACAACCCCTCCTGAACCCCCTCTGCCCTCTGTAGTGCAAGCAGAGCCTGGTCCTCCCTCCTCGCTCAGATTGCCACCACTCCCACCACCACCTGACAGGTAGGAGCCGTCCCGATCAGGCATGGCGCTGGGCCCAGCTCAAGGAGAATACTGCACTCATGTGTATGAGGTCTGGAGTGCCTTGGTGACCCTTTACATGTACAGGGAAGTAAATAATTGACTGCTTTTTCCCTTGACTGGAGCCTCGTCCTGGTAAGACCTGCAAAACAAACAAAGGAACTCAACTTTAGACTTTTTTTTCCAAAAGTAAAAATACATCAGTTTACAGTGATAGTATAACTGTGCTTAGGGCGGCTCGGGGGGGTGAAAGGCCGGAAGTGCCCTTTTGCTAGCAAACGTCATGCTAGCAACATGCTTCAATAAGAGTGTCAAACCTGAAATGGCCTCACACCAACTTGAATATTAACAGTTGTTGCAGCTTCCAATGGCATTTAAACAGCGTGTAACGCTCAAATGGAGCGAAAGAAATAACACGCAATTATTTGTTTTTATAGCATCATTCCAACGGATCGCACCATTGTTTCCGCATTCTTGATTTCCTCAACATGAAATATTGATGCCGCCTCCATCTTAAAAATCATGTCCGTCCCTGTTACGCAAAAAATAAAATTTACATTTCGTTCTCTCCCGGTAGCAAACGCGAACCGAGCCGTGAACGTATAGCCAATTTAGGTACCAAATCGGAATTTATACAGTTATTATTTCCACCCTCCGTGGTTATACATTTTTAGTTTTACTGTCATAACCGACCGCCTCCATGGCAAACCAAACTACAGCGAGACCCGTGATAAGAATACGTTTGACGTTTTAAATTAAAATTGCATTAATTTCGTGTCATTGTTGAACAACCACCGTTGGTTCGTAAGCTTGTGCTTGCTAACCTTAGCTAGTCCAGGGTAGTTGTTCGTTCGCCAAGAACAAACGCTGCCTTACCTAATAGGTGCCGGCACAGTATCAAAGAAAGTGCTCCACCGCGTTAAGACACGCAACCGTGATACACACGAACCCTAAACGATACTTTTACTTTGTAATGAACACGTCGGGGTTTGAAGTCATTTGCGGCCTACGTGCTGTTTTTTTCCATAGAATCCGAGGAGCTTTTTTCAGGACGCTCTTCTTCTACGCTCTTCACAGACGCTCATGTTTGCCCCCCTGTGGCGCGGATGTTCAATTGCGTTAGAATAAGTTTTCTTGTGTGCGGAGCCTTTGACTAAAAAGCCTCTGGGGTGTCAGACGAAAACATACGGACACACACAGTTGTGAGAGGCAACTCGGAGTGCACTGTCGAAGTCACGTAGTTGTTCGTTTGTAAATTAAAAAAAAAAATCAAACGTTAGCGTCCAAACATGGTAGCACAAACCGCGCTCCTGCTCTTGTTGTCACTAGTGCTGCCTGCAGCCGCCGCACTGATCAGACAAAATTACTACGACATACTGGATGTGGAGCCAACAGCAAGTGAGGACCAGATAAAAAAAGCTTTCCGCAAACTTGCACTTATGCACCACCCTGATAAAAACACGGGCGCTGCTGCAGAGAAGACGTTCAGGGAGATTGTCGAAGGTATGTATTTTATCGTTGACAGGAGACCTGATATTTTACACCACCGTGGAATTCAAACATGATAGTACTGCATTGCTCTACCACAGCCGCTATCCTTTGTACTTTTTGTTGTAGCTTTCTGAATGTCAATAAATGTCATTTGGATTTTGTAACAACATTCACTTTATTGGGCATTCCATAAACTCTAAAAGAACCAAGTTGATGATCACAACACGGCATGTCATAGCAATTCTCAGCTACTACCAAAATATTCTCCCAAGTGGTCATGAATAATATATATATATATATACGGGGCCCTGCCGCAATTGATGACCCGTAAAACTGATTAATTGCCTACATTTATGATTAAAACCACAAATATGAGATCGTTGATGTACTGCACACTAAAATGTCTTGCCTTCATTATGTCCTTAAGCGTACTTGCTGCTTTGCAACAAGAAGAAGAGGAGGCTGTACGACATTTTGGGCCATGACGCCTTCCTGAAAAACGAGGCCTCTGTGGACTCGATGGAAGATGACAAGGAGAGTTTCTTCGTCAATTTTCAGGATCTCGATGGTTTGGATGAAATGCCCTTTCGTTGGAGCTTCACTCATGATGGCGAGGATGAGGAGGGACCACACGGCTATTACAGTTTTGACAGACCTGTTTGGGATGAAAATGATTACTTTTAGATGAGTATTTTATTTAAATGTTATTTCAGTGTGGTTATGAATATCCTGTATTTTATTTTCTATGATAATAAAGTCGGACTGAACTATTAAGTTAATGTTTTGTCAACTCTACTGCCTCCTTTATTGGATATCTTGTAAATTCAACCCTTCTATACAAGTCACTGATTGGGCAGTCATGCCCTCTTATCCCAGGTGGGTGTGTTAAAAGTCCGAGTTACTGACTAACACACCATTTACTCCTTTTTTCCCCCCACGGCCAGCACTTTAGATTTGGCACAGTTGTACTCCGTTTGTCATCAAGGCAGCGTGCACTTTGACCCAAAGGATATCCTGTGCCTTCTCAGCAGTTGCAGCTTGAGCGCATTGCAGCCCGGCTGACGGACGATTTTCAGAGCGTTAATGCACATGTTCCCCCTGAACAAATAAGGACTTTTTAGCATTCTTTGAAGCAGAAAACAAAGTGGACTGAAAATATTGCCTCAGAAGGTTGACGATGATGGTAAGTCTTCATGAAAATGTCCTTCCTGACAACATTGCGAGTCATGTGACAGCCATTTGTTGCATGTTACCATGGACTTCATGTGAGCTTTTGTGTACTGTTAAACTGAATTCGAAGTTGACCCACAACTTAATATTTGTTTTTACAGGAAGAGGTGAAAGAAGAGCCGCCTTGTCTGAGTGTCCATGGACATAGCGTTAAGGTTGCAGAGGTGTTGCAAGATGGGGACGGACTTACCTTTCTAATTGTGTCTCAAAAAGTAAGAAGAATTACATTCACTGTGCACCAGAAATGGTAGAATGTGAAGCAATGTTTTCCGACTGCTTCAAGACGTATTGAGGCACAAGCCTCAGTACTGTTATGGAGAAGGTCAGTATGTAAGTTAACACCGCTAACTAAATAAAAGTCCTGCTGACTTGGCACATTTTCATCTGATGATGCTCACATCTGGAGATAAAGACTTTTGTTTTCTTTGCACAAGAAATGGCCTGCACAAAACACCAAACAGTTCCAATTACTGGGTGGTTGTGAACCTGGAACAGGCCCACAGCCAAGTTGCAATGTTCAAACACACTTTTTAGATCGTCTCGAGGCAGGCACATATTTGACTTTTGAAGGATTCTCACAAGCACACCACCAAACAAAAATGGCAGAAAAAGCAGTGAACTGAAATAATGATGTTGTTTCAATGTATTCATGAATTTACTTGAAAACTGGACCTGGTTCGTTGAACACAATGCTGGAATAATCACAGAAATGGGAGAAAGACAAATCTTCCTTTTTTGGATGAATTATGTGATGGATCATTTGTAACTGCGCTTCTGATGGCTCCCTCATGGCACGGTGAGAGGGAATCCCTCGTCCAAGAAATATATGGGATTTGAACAACAAATATGGGGTGCCATATATTTCAAGGATGGCTTATTTTTTAAAGTGGAACAATTCTATTGAGTGGGATTCCGATTTGAGTCGATATGGCACATCTCAGTCATTTTACAAAACCCTCTGTAATGTAAATGTGTTCCTTCACAGAGATATTTTGCACACACACGCACACACACACACACACACGCGCCCAAAATGAAAGATGAATCTCAATCTCAATGGGGTTTTATAAGATTCAAGAATGGTACATTTTAATTCAAGCAGAATCATTCAGTTCGACTCAATGCACTTATTAAATCGAAACCCATTTTCCGCTTTTGCACCAGCTCTTGGACTGGATCTCACTAGAATGCAGGCGAATGCAGAAAATGTGATCAAATCTGGCTATTGGGTGTCATAACGCAACTCTCTTGTCTCTGCTGTTGGGGTTAGCTGTCTGGGACCGGGGAGTACCATGTGGACCGCACCTACGAGGACTTTGAGTGGCTGCAGCAGAACCTGTTCACTCAGGAGGATGTGCCCGGGATACAGGGAGTCATAGTCAGTGTTAATATTTCATGATTTCCAAATCCCCAAATAGAAGATTTCCAAATAGTATGTTTTTTAAATCAATGCAGCTGAATCATCCGGAAGTGTGTGTTTTTTTATTGTGCACCACTTCTAGAAACGAACGCCGGTTTGAGTAAAGGCGTTGTGTTTGTCGTGTATCACTGCCGTATAAAATATTGTCATATCCATGGACGGTATGAAATTAATCTAGACCATTCAACGTTGTCTTGGAAAACAATGAGTCATCATAAAGCTGTTTTCCTATTTTTCCCCCCACCAAGTTTCCTCCTCTTCCTGCAAAGGCTCAGATGAACGCAACAGCAAAGATCATCAGACAGCTTGGTGAGCAAATCTGGACAACAACAAAAACATCACGTCGGAGCCAAAAATCTCAACCCGTCCTATGAAAGCTGGTTCTCTTGAGTGGAGTTTTGAGAACAATACTTTGATCCAAGGGGCTTTTTTTTTAACCTGCAGGTTTCCTCGGTTTGGAAGAGTTTAAGCCATACTGTACCGCACTGGAGACCTTCCTCCACCAGGTGGCAGCACATAACCTACTCAGAAAAAACAAAGCTTTGGAGATCTTCCTCACCAGCTCTGAAGTGAGTATTAGTGTATCACAAACGACAATAAATGACCAACCGCAACTCTATGACCACTTGCACAATCCAGTCATCTTAAACGCAAGCAAAAATGTTGATTTGTATTAAAAAATACAATCACACCCAACGTTGTAAAGGTATATCACCGTAATAATGTCACATTGTCACTTAGGGATCCTGAATTACCAACTCGTCTGAGAAAAACTCCATAAAATATAGGGCAATCTTTCAAATGGACCCATTTTTTAATATAAGAATGTACTAGCAGTATGCTATATTTCCAAGGGTTTCCTAGGAAATTCTGTGTAATCCTTTTTCTATATGTGCAGCCGCCAGGTCGACAGAGAGCCAGAAAAAACATTTTCAATCGCTTGAGTCAAGCTGTGGAAGAGATGAGAAAAGAAGGCCACAAGGTCAAACTCTTTCAGAACTGACAGCATTGCAGCCATCCTACTGTGCTTGTTTTTTCAAACTGTGTCCTTGATTGCCTTTGCAGGATGTTGATGACTTCTTTCAAACCAAACGGGACATCAATCTCGCTTTAACCGGCTGTACCAAAAACGCAGCGGATGTGAGTGGCATTCCTCCTTGTTTGCCTGATACTGTACATCTAGACACATGACTTAATGCATTTTTTGATTTGTTTATGTTGATTACGGATGTGAGTGGCATTCCTCCTTGTTTGCCTGATAATGTACATTCTAGACACACGACTTAATGCATTTTTTGATTTCTCTATGTTGCTTCTTCTTTCTGCAGAAATTCCTGGATGTGGTGCTAACTGAGCAAAGTAAGATCATGTCACAAACATTTAAGTGCAGATAAAATGACAGAGAGCTGTCATTTCGACTAAAACTTCAGGGTTGAGGATATTCTAATCCGATTTAGGATTTTTTTTTAACATAGCATTGCCACCATGATTGTTGGATTTATTCCCACTGCTTTTGTCATGAGTAGCTGCATGGAGCTTACAAGGGCTGGCAATCATGGTGTTGAAACTAAATTTGGTGCATGCTTGACTTTTCCAGCACAATTTTCAACCAATCACACACAACCAAACTTACTTTTTTTGCAATCGTTTCCTAATTCACTTCAGTTTTCATGCTTGACACCCTCGTGTGTTTGTACAGAAATAGCAGTGGCCTGCGGGCACTTTGCAGCTGCCCTGCATCTGTGTGTTGAATCCGGGGATGATCCTGACAAAGCAGCTTTTTCTAAGTAAGACTCCACGGGTCTCAAGACTGTCACAAGGACATAAAGTGAAATTTTGCGTTCAAGTGTTTGCTTGGAAAAATAAGATGGACTGATTCTGCACTCTTTATTAATATAGGATTTGTGTAAAATTATCAGCCATCTTTGAGTCAATGAAGGTAATTTACCTTTCCAGATAAAAAAAACAAAATATATTATCATAATGTGTTCGTGGTTTTCATTATTTTGTTTTGTTACTTTGTTTTGCACATGCAGAAAAATATGAC